CCTGGATTTCCAATATAATCTTTTGACTTCCAATAACTTGGCTATGTGATTCTTGATAATAGTTCTGAAGTTTGCTTCAATAGTGCTCAGATTCCTTTGATCCTCAATGCCATCAATCATAGATAGAACATAGTTACAAGCAGAAATATTAGTGTTAAGTTTTGATAGATTTTTGCTCCATTTTTTTAAACCCATTCTGAGACATTTGAACCTGGCATCAGTATCCTTGGCAGAATTTGTCAATTGTTAATTTCTGTTCCAACATTGAATAACAGTCTCATAGAACCCATCAAATTCAAGCCAATAATTTTCAAATCTGAATATAGAGGATTTTGGAATATCACTGCCTATCTGAATGTGAATAGGAATATGATCTGATGTGACTCTAGCAAGTGGGTGTGCTAAAGTATTTGGGAATGTCAGGGTCCAGTTGGCAGAAGTAAAAATCCAGTCAAGCTTTTCCAGTAGTGGAGAGTCCTGCATGTTAGACCATGTGAAATTCCTACCCTTGATAGGTATTTCCACAAGATCCTGTTGTTGGAGTAGGCTGTTAAATATAAGCATATTATTGGTGTCTCCTCCTGGTCTGTTTCTGTCAAGTGGGCTCCTTATTAGATTGAAATCACCCATTAAAATCCAATGATCCATCTAAGAGGCATCTATATTGCTCAGCCAATCAAAAAATTCAGTTCTGTCATCATTATGGCAGGGTCCATAAATATTGCTGATGTAGAAAATGTTCCTAGATAGATTGCATGATAATCTCACAGTGATTGGGTACGTATTTTGGCTGACAACAGATCCTATAAAGAGACTGCCATTCCATATAGTAATAATCCCTCCTGATAGTCCAACAGAGGCAGTATATGCAAATTGGTTGTATCTTCTAGGTGAAAATATGTATTGCTATTTGTAGTTTGCCTCATGTTTTTATCTTTTTTTTGCATCGTTAAACACTGAGTTAAACTGTTTGATTTATTGTGCGATTAAGCAATATTTTGTATGTTTTCACATGACGTCTTGGGGTATTTTTTGGGTAGTTATACATAGTAAGGTTTTTCATACTCATAGAAATATATTGTGACGGTTCCTGGCTCGGCCACCGAAAGCCAAGCAAATACAATGAGATATATAATAACACAACACTTGTACAATCAACTAAAATTTATTATTTTACAAAAAATGATGGTTCACATGTACAAGTGTTTCTATTAGGTGGGCTATATCTTAAGACTTGGACATGGTCTTAGTGATTGTTATAGTTTCTAGGTTTTGTGTTGAAAGTAACATTTTGAGTGCTTTATTTCATACGAGGTGTGGCATGTTTTAAATTCCACTTTAAATTTAGGCATGGGAAGTGCCATAAAGGACCTACTATAAAATTATTTCTAAGGATTAAATTATACTAACATCTTAGGAAATTTCCACCATCCAAAAAAGTGCAAAGGTTTCTAACTTTGCATGCTAAACTTCCAATCAAATTCATGTAAAATTATTCCATTTAAAACTATCTCAAATTCAAAATTTGAGAATTTATGGAATACACTTTTGATAAGTTACCAATACAGTTTCTCCATCCAGCTTCCTTTGCCACAAAATATACCTAACATGCCAAATAATTCAATTATAAAAAATTCGAAAAATAAAGTACTATTATTGGCTTTTGTAATATACCTGACATTCTACAACTTATTGAAATTTCATAAAACCAAATATATAGATGAAAATCACTGTAAATACAACACCACCGTCTCATCAAAATAAGAAACAATCATCACCTACCAGCCCCACAACACGGGGAGATCAGCCACAAAACACATAGAAATAACCCAGATCCACACAGTCATTCATTATCAAGCACAAGAAAGTCCATAACCAGGGTCTCATCAGTGGCACATGCATGTGTACCATTGTTTTGACCAACATCCTTTTAGGAACATGACGAGCTCGTCGTAGGGCTTGTCTTCGACGGTATGTTGCTCGAGGTTGTTCATGAAGTGCAATAGAGTGGAGAATGCAGTATCCTGGAGGTAAGCGATGCTACCATGGTGCTCGACAACCTTAGTCAAGTACCCTTCACCGTTCATGATGGTGATGATGGTAGTGAAGTCAGGTGGTTTAAGATTCAGGATCCCGTCGTAGGGGTTTATCTCATTCCATGAGAAGTAGACACTAGTGCTTGTCTGCGTTTAAGATAACCGTAAAATCTTAAAGTATTAGCTCGGTGATACATAGATTCAAAATGTATTCTAATTGGTAAACTAGGTTCCAATTTATTTTGTTGAGCTAGCTATTGTCAAATGCTTTTGAATGTAGTTGTTATTTCTTGTATGTAAACAAGGAGAATTTACCTGGCCACGACTGATGTCACAACCCTCAGAGGCTTGTGGTCCCTCGCCTGATCGCTATGCCACAAACCATGTGTATTATCAATAAAAATATTTAAGTGAACTAAGACCAAAAGGTTGCCACAGATAACTAAAGCCCCTTTAAACAGTATAAAAAAACCTATGCCTTATTAAACTAGAAAGATCTGTCGAATCCCTTCAACCAAACCGATGTTTAGTTCTCTATGAAACCCGCTATCAGTTTGGTTGAAGGGATTCGACAGATAATGAGTCCTAGATTTTTTTGTTATACTGGTTAAAGGGGTTTCAGTTATCTGTCGCAACCTTTGGTCTTAGTTCACTTGAATATTTTTATTGATAATACACATGGTTTGTGGCATTGGGATCCAGGTGATGGACCACAAGCCTTTGAGGGTTGTGACATTAGTCGTGGCCATGTAAATTCTCCTTGTTCACTTACAAGAAATAACAACTACATTCAAATGCATTTGACAATAGCTAGCTTAACAAAAAAAATGAACCTACTTCACCATTTAGAATGCGTTTTGAATCTCTGTACCACCGAGCTAATACTTTACGATTTTACGATTATCTTAAAGGCAGAAAAGCACTAGTGTCTGCTTCTTGTGGAATGAGATAAACCCCTACCACGGGATCCTGAACCTCCAACCACCTAACTTCACTACCCTCCTGACAATCATGAATGATGAAGGGTACTTGACTGAGGTTGCGTGGCACCATGGAAGCATCACTCATCTCCAGGATACTGCATTCTACACTCTATTGCAGTTCATGAACAACCTCAAGCAACATATTGTCGAAGACGACTCCTACGACGAGCTCATCTTGTTGCTAAAAGGATGTTGCTCAGAAGAATGGTACACATGCATGTGTCACTGATGAGGCTCTGGTTATGGACTTTGCTGTGCTTGATAATGGATGATTGTGTGGATCTGTTTATTTCTATGTTTATTATACAAAAACTATGAAATTATTCAGATATGTGGGTCTGTTTTGTTGCTAACCTCCTTGTGGTGTGTCACAGCTAGGTGATGATTGTTTCTTATTTTGATGAGACGGGTGTGTTATATTTGCAGTAAGTTTGCATTTATACATTTGGTTTTATGAAATTTCAATCAATCGCATAATCTCATGTATACTGCATTAGCCAATAATAGTACTTTGTTTTTGAATTTTTTTGTAGTTGAACCGATGGGGAGGGCTTTCGCGAGAGGTGTGCGGGCGAGGGCCATCACGGCAACGGTGGCGGCGGGCTCACGGAAATGGACGCCCGCAGTTGGCCACGTACAATGGGACGGGCCCTTGCTATGGCCCTCATGTCTGGATAGTTCGTGGGGGCTTGCAGAACGGGCGTGATGGGTTGGAAGGGAGGCAAAACCCGTTGTCTGGATTCAGATCGAATGAGAATTGAAAAGAATAAAAAGAAAATCAGAATTGAGAGGGTTTGTTTTTTGGGATGATCGAGGGAATGCGAGATGCTTTTGATAGATGTTTGGACTGCGAAGGAAGGAAATGACGTACGGTTTGCCATTTTAGTTAGAGATTTAGTCTTCAGAAATTGATTAAATATTGATCATGATTTATTCTTTTCCATATAAAAGTTACCAAATACTACAAAAAATTGATCTTATTGGCAGATAAAATTGGTTTAAATAGATCATGGATAAAATCCGGTTTAAATGTATTGGTGGGATAAAAATCAGTGAGGAAGGATTAACTGGAATGAGGCGAGACTACCAACTCAGACATTAGGAGTAGAGATTAGGGGCAGAGATTCTGGCTGGTGGGCTGCGTCAGCACATACGCCCTCTGTCAGGTGGGGCCCGGGCGTCAGAGGCTCACCCACAGGAGAAAACGAACTCCATGACTCCCATTTGCCAGACCTTTTCTCCTCTTCGTCGCATCGTCCTCTTCCTCCAGCACGCCTCCTCCTCCTCCCCCCTCCTCCTCGCTAAAACCCTAGCCCCGCCTATCGCTCCGCCTCCAAGCCTCTCGCCGCCGGTTTCTCCGACGGTTCCTGCTCAAGGGTCGGTGCCTTTGGTCTCCACGCGATGGCGGGCCGCGGGAAGAAGGGCGGGAAGGGGGCGGAGGACCTGGGCCGCGCGCTCATACGCCAGCAGAACAGGGCGGCGGCGGCCGCCAAGGAGCGGGGCGAGGCGCTCGCCTCCTCCTCCCGCCGCCGCGCGCCGCCCCTCGAGTCCGTCATCGACGTCAGCGAGATCGACGCCGTCCTCCAGCGCGCCGCCGAGGAGGACCGCCTCCATTCCGCCCTCGCCGCCGCCGCCTCCGCCTCCTCCTCCGACCTCATCATCGACTTGTGAGCCGCCTCCCCTCCCTCCAGTGAGACATGTTCGTTGGCTCCGGGCTGTATTGGTTGGAATGGCGTTTGGTCTGAAATGGTTGGATTGAATGATTGGGCACAGGGATGCGACGGGAGAGACAGCCGAGGAGAGGCGAAGGCTTCGGAAGGAGCAGAGGCGCTGCACGCCAACAGCCTGGGGGTTCCAAGGCGGTGAGTGCCCCTGATTGCTCTTGCTTTAGTTGTTCTGTTGTTTTGAGTTTATTAGGGGTTGTGGTTTTGATCTGACTGTGTGTGTGGCCCGTGATTGCAGTCCACCGTGGACTAACCGGATGACCGCGGAGGAGCTCGACACGAGCGAGAGGCAGGCGTTCCTTGAGTGGCGGAGGAATCTTGCGAGGTTGGTACCGAGTTGTGTTTTTACTCGGTTTATTTATGATTCGGAACTTTCTAGTTTGAAGAGAATTCGGCTGCAAAATGCATGTTATAGGACTGATAATCTCAGCTAAACTTATTAGCTGTACCATTGATTTTTGTATGGAACTGGTAATGGTATTTGGTAGATGGTAGTAGTACCATGTTTTGAGCATTTGTGTTATGGATTCTTCTCATGGATTACGTGCGCGAGCATCAGTGTACATCTACTACGTATGTTGTGACAGTAATTTTTCTTACAAATGTGGTGCTTGCTGTGTCTTATTGTGCCATTTGACATATTAAATGCTTTGATCAATTCTTGTACTTAGATTGGAAGAGAATGACAAGCTTGTCCTTACACCTTTCGAGAAGAACATTGACATCTGGAGACAGCTCTGGAGAGTAATTGAACGCAGTGATTTGGTGAGTAATGCTCCACTTTCGCTGCCATTGTCACCCATAAATCCTGTGATTCACTGCTTGCCTACTGGTCTTGTGATCCCAACTGTTAGGTGTTAGCACAATTTTTTTTGTTTGACCCCATCCGCTGTGTTATACTCCCTCCGTTCTGAATTACTTGTCGCAAGTATGGATGTATCTAGATGTATTTTAGTTCTAGATACATCCATTTCTGCGACGAGTAATTTGGAACGGAGGGAGTATTCTCTAAGAAATGAGTGGCAGATGCATTTGTAAGGTCACACATGCTCTTTCTGTGCTGCGTATTGACGCTGAATTAATATAACTTGTACTCTTACTACTGTATATCCTATCCTGTAAATATGCTACTCTGTTGTGCTCTATTTACTGTATATCATGTCCTTAAATATGCTACTCTGTTATGCCCAATCCATTTACTGTACCTTGATTGAAGATAAGCAACTCAATGAATATCATGCAGAAGTACTGACTACTGTTTTCTTTCTTCCATGAAGCTGGTCATGGTAGTTGATGCTCGAGATCCCTTATTCTACCGGTGTCCTGATCTTGAGGTACTTCTTATCATGTTCCTGTAGTAATTTGGTCAACTCAAGGAATATCTACTACACATAGCAAAATGATTGCAGCTTGTCCCTAGTTTAAGTTTGTCCAGTGTCCAGTTTTGTGCATGAAAGCCAATAGTAGTAAAATTGGTCCAGAGAGCTGTTCATGAATTCTCATTCAGAGACTACATGCTTCTGATGCAAGTATTGCAAGTTGGAAGCTTGCAACAGCTATATTATTAGAATGTGCTTGTTTCCTGTATTTGTGGCTGAAGCAAATTCAGGTTTTCTGTCTATCATGAGCAAACATACATAATTCAACCTTCTCATAGATCTTATCTGTTAAAATTATCTTGCTAGCATGATCTGTGATCCGAGTCTTGTTTTTCTTTTCTCCATATTAAGATGAACTTTCCATGTTCTCTGCTACAAAAGTAAAATATGCTAATCTGAATCTACTGTTGTGCATTCATGATAGGTTTATGTGTTGACACCAAAACCAGTTGTTGTACCTAATGTGTTCTATTGCGGATTCTGCAGTGTTTTCTTGATCTGATGAGTCTTATTTGTACTAGGTATATGCAAAGGAACTTGATGAACACAAGAGAACAATGCTCCTTGTCAACAAGGCTGATCTACTACCTTTAAATATCAGGTCTGCACCTTGTCCATTGTGATTAATTTGTTGCACTATATAGCATGACTATGAAATGACGTCCTTGTACATTTGGCCTAAATACAGAAAAATATGGGCAGATTATTTCAAGGAGCACGATATTCTTCATGTTTTCTGGTCTGCTAAAGCTGCTACTGCCACATTAGAAGGAAAAATGTCGAGTGGTGAACAAGATTCTGCTTCACCTGATATGGATACCAAGATATCTGGCAGGGAAGAACTTTTGATGAGGTTGCAAGCTGAAGCGAAATCTATCGCAGCACAAAGAAGGACGTCAGCTAGTAAAGGGGAACAAGAAGCAAGTTCTACTGATTCCGTTTCATCAGTGGCTAAACATGTAGTTGCTGGATTTGTTGGTTATCCAAATGTTGGGAAGAGTTCCACCATAAATGCTTTGGTTGGTGAGAAGAAGACCGGTGTTACTCACACACCTGGTAAGACAAAACATTTCCAGACATTGATAATCTCTGAAGAGCTCATGCTGTGTGATTGTCCTGGTCTGGTCTTCCCTTCATTCTCAAGCTCAAGGCATGAGATGGTGTCATGCGGTGTCTTGCCGATTGATAGGATGACAAAGCACCGGGAAGCTATCCAGGTGGTGGCAGATCGTGTCCCAAGAGACGTCCTGGAGCAGATTTACAAGATCACCTTGCCAAAGCCAAAGCCATACGAACCACAATCTCGGCCACCGACTGCAGCTGAGCTGTTGCGGGCATACTGCGCGTCTCGGGGCCATGTCAGCCATGGCGGGCTGCCTGACGAGACAAGGGCTGCTAGGCAGATACTCAAGGACTACATCGACGGCAAAATCCCACACTACGAACTCCCTCCTGGTGTTGTCACAGACGATGAAGTAGAAACAAGAGAATCTACTGTTGCAGCAGCAGAAGGTCCGACTGCTTCAGCAGTTGACGAATCTGGCAGTGACGACTCCGATGAACAGGATGATATGACAGGAGGTCCAGACATGAGGCAGCTCTTGAGTGACCTCGAGTCTTTCGACTTGGCCGCCAGCGAAGGGTCCAATGCCACTGGAAAGAAGAAGCAGCACCAGGCATCACAGAAGCAGCACAGGAAACCCCAGCGGAAGAAGGACCGGTCCTGGAGGGCTAGCAACGATGGCAGCGATGGGACGGCGGTGGTAAGGGACTTCCAGAAGCCCACCGTCAGTCATCCCACGGTCAGCGTGAATGGAAATGTCTAGTGCCAGTGTCCCAAGCTTCCTAAACAACCACATATCACAGTTGCTGCTTCCGGGAAGATGTCTGTCGAATGCAAAAAGGCCAAGAAATACATCTACACATAATATAGCTGTGCTTGCTCTGGCTGTGTGCCGATTGCTGAATCTGCTCTGGTAGATGGACGGGAGACTGACGTGAAGATTGTTTCCTGATAATGTGTCCGAACATGCAGAGATTGCCGTTGTAAATATAACGTGGGTTGTGACTCGTGATACGCGTGGTGTTCTGTAATTTTTCAACAATCGACGTAACTATACATATGCGAAGATCATCTTGAAGTACTTTTTTCAGGCTGCTAACCATTATTCGAGCACTAACTATATTTTATTTTACATATACGGAGTGGAATTGCATTGTGCGCATGGATTTTCACATTTTCTGCCAACTGCAGTATTTTTTGGAGCCAGAAGACAACCTGCCCCCGTTCCATTCATTGAACGATTCCTGCAAACTTTGGAGTACGTACCTCTTGCCTCTTGCAAATTGGTTTGTGTAGATTCAGCATTTCAAGTTTCATTTTGAAGATAAAAGTTACTCCAAGAGAGGGGAAAAAAACCTTGAAAATGCATTCTCTCATTCAAATTTTATTGTCATTCAAGTTTCATCTCAGGCACCTCTCCTAATACTTTTTCTCATTCAAATGCATTTAATCAGTCATTTTAACGAGGCGGCACCGCCCATTGTTGTCATTTCCAAGAGAGCTGCTCCAATGGTGGCCATGCACTCCCGCCCCATTGAATTTGAACCCCAACAGGCCAACGGCCACCCCTCGGTTCTCGCGCCCCCAATCGCCAACGCATGCGCCCCGTCGCAATGCCGCCGCTCTGCCTTCACATTCCACACTCAAACCCCTACTTAACCAACCTTCGTCTACCCACGCTCAGAATTCCTACCCACAGCAGCCAGAAACCTCTCATCCATCCAGCCATGGCGGACTGGTCCTCGCTCCCGCCCGAGCTCGTCCGGCGCATCGCCGACCGCCTCCTGGACACCAACGACCTCGACCTCTACATGGGCCTCCGCGCCGTCTGCCCGAGCTGGCGCTCCGCCACCGACGACCCCAAGGACTCCTCCGAGCCCCGCTTCCGGCCGTGCCGGTGGATCGTCGTCGACGAGCACTTCCACTTGGGTAGCGACTCACGCCTCCTGGTGAACACCGTCAGCGGCCGTGTCGTCCGCCTGGACCTGCCTCTGCTCCGCCGGTACTGCCTCGTCGCCACCACCCACGGCGGCTTCTTCGTCCTCGCCGACAAGAAGCCCCCTCACCGTGCGGTCGTCCTCAACCCCTTCACCGGCCACATGATCCACATCATCTTGGTCTGTGATGGTGGTACTTGCGAACGATACATGGCTGTTCCTGACAGCGACGATTTCAGCCCAGATTTGGATGAAGAAGTTGCGAGCTCATGCCAGATTGTGATGCCGCTGGCCATCGCCGGCGGTATCTATGCCGCAGACGGTTGGCATAGAAGGGCGGCACCGCTTCCGGTTGCTTTGGCTGATAAGATGTTCCGTTTGATGAAGCTGTTCGACATTGATACTTACAAGATGTACGAAGAAAAACCTTCGATGGGTATGGGGTTTGCCGATCTTTCCTGGACAAGTAATGCCAACCGCATTTTCCTGGTCGAATCTGCCGGAGAGATTCTGGCGATTGTCAACGTGCAGCCACACCTGAAAGTTTTCACGCTGGACACCGACAGCGATGAGCTCGAGCCGGTGGAGGGCATCGGTGGCCGTGCCATCTTCATCGGTTACCGCAGGAGCCTGTCTGTCAGTGCGGACAAGTTCCCCTCTGTCATCGCCAACTGCATCTACTACGTCAAGCCTACAGATTCGTCACATGACATTTACCAGTATGACCTGAAGAGAGAGAGAGAAGAGTGCGTCTGTGAAGCCATAGGCAGCATGCATTCCTTCTTAAACCCAAACCCCATCAGGCTACCCGTTGCTAAACCTCCTTTCACCATCCTTCAGCTCCTCTCGAGCTACACCATAAACACCCGGCAATCTCAGCTTTGGCTGGAATTATTAGTACAGGACCTTCTTCCTCATGTTTATCCGTGCGGCAGCTCTTATTCTGATAAATATGACTGAAGTATTGATTGAGCCAGTGAATGTCAGTGATGTGCTCAGCTGAGTGATGATGGATCTCTTGTTGCCAGGAAGAAATTGCATCTGTGTTTGAGTCCGTCTCCTTTTGTTTGCTTTGTGGAAACTAGCTAGTGCTGTGGTGTTAAGTTCATCTTGTTATGCACCTATATGTTCCTTCATCTTCTTTTGGACTAGGTTTGTTCTTCCCGAGTTTGTATCGCTGAATGATACATGCAATGTGGTGCGTTCTGGTGCTTGAAGATGTTGTCTTGCTATAATTTGTTTGCTGTTGTTGTTCACAAGTCGATATGCTTTTTTTTTTTTGGAGATTGTTGTGTTCCAGTACATTGAAGCCAGGGCTTGCCCCCATTTTCCTAGAGACAAGTTTGTCCAGACTTAAAATACTCTGTCTCTGTATCCTTCATCTTATATTGCTTGTATTTTTTTATCATTTGTAGAACCCAGCAACAAACGTTCTTGTAAGGACATCTCTAATCTATGTCTGAATGTTAACTCCTAGTAAAATCTTAGCTCACAATAATGTAGGACTCACCCACTAAACTGGAAAGTTATTAGTTTTTCCTTCGAAAACCAGCTGCGTGCCTTTTGGCGGGAGCTTCGAACCCTGATATGTTGGGTGTGAGGCATGTTTTAAACTCCCGTTGCCACCTTACAAACCCACCAAGTAAGTGGCAGTTTAAAATTAGAAACCTTAGGAAGGTTGTAAAGGATGGACTCAAAAAGTTGATCTCTCTCTCTCTCTCTCCCTCTCTCTCTCTCTCTCTCC